AGACAAATATCTTCACGGAGGACCCACCCCCTTTCTCTGCTACCGGTTGTACGAAAACTAAAGCTTTCAAATAAAGGGACATCTGTTGGTTGCTCTTCTCGAGAGGGGCATGGTTTGAGATTATGCGAATGCCCTCTGTAAGGCTGGCAGGATTAACAAATAAATACACAGTTAAATTTGAAGTCTTTCTTTTCTAATTGCCTATGCAATTTTGTAATTTATCGATGAGAATGAATACAGGACATTTAGGGCATCTTAATAAAGTTCATACAGAATGCAAGACAAAAATCACTAAATACAGGATATTTCCTGCATACACAGCATGCTGGCATCCCTACTCTGGGGTTACATTCAGAGTTATATGGCCTTTACATACATATATGACATCTTTAGCTTTTATACTTTCGTATAAATGATGTCTTTTAATTTCCACAATCAATCCTTGTAATTTTATTAGAAATTACCTATCACCTCCAATCAGCTTTTTCTCAGTCTTCTATTTTTATATGCCAGTACCATACCAACTGAAAAATTAAAATTCTTTTCCCCAATTATTTGGGCATTTAATGTCCACAAGTTACCGGTTTGGATTATTTTTAACCCACAGGACTATCTGCATTGATGGAATAGAGCAAAGATGAAGAACAGCCCACCAAGCACATTAGCAGAAGATCGAGTGCCACAGGAGAGCTGACCGAAGATGAGGATGAAATGAAATGGCCAAAGATTTATTTCTGCCTCATGTTTCCTTTTCATTAAGCATTTCGTAGAAAAATTTTGAGGGAAAGTTGGACTGAATCCATCAGTGTTTCTTAAAGGCTAGGATGACCGGTTCTCTTGAGAAGAAGTCATTTTCCCCTGGGAGAAGTCTTTGTATGGGACAGTCTAGTTGATCAATTATTAGCTTTTATTTTTCACACTTTTCTCACCGCCTTCCTTGCTCTGAAGACAAAGATTTTGTTTTAGATTCTTTACCAAGAAAAAATCACAATAACATGACGACGATAAAAAAATGAAATTTACTAACAAATTCCAATGCCTCAAGAAGTTAAGTGACTGCTTTATTCTTTAAAATCCCAATTCAGTTCTGATCATACCATTTTACTGCAAATTCTAACTCTGGAGATTCTTGATTCTGCTCTTGAGAGCAGAATCCACTCATTGCTGTCCAAAGGCCCACGGATTGATTGGCAGCTTATTCTGATTAAAGGAAAACTGAAATTCACAAAGGGAAAAATGTACGTAATTAATCCATGAGAAGTGAAATGTTAAGACTTCAAGTGTAAGTCTTCCCAGGGGGAGAAAATTAAGCATCTTGCACCAATTCAGAGTCTAATGCTGGAATTCGAGTGCACCCTACAGAAGGTAGAAATCAAGACTTGAAATGCTAATACCTTTCATTAAGAAAAAGTCCCATCCCAGAAAGCTATGATAAAACAACCTGCATTCAAAACAAGTTATTTCGAATGCTTAACAGGCAAAGAAAAGTCTAGTGAGAATGAAAGCCAAAAAAAATTAAAGAAAAATAACTACTTAGGAAAAAAAAAAAGAACGAAAGCCAAAATCGCAAGACATCTTCCTTATGCTACGTGGGCCCCTAGTGACGAAATACAGAGCCAAGCCCGAGGACGAGGGTGATCCATTTCTGAGTTACCAATGCAGACACCTTGCTCCTTCTTTGCCTTTCTTTTGTATTTTCTCCCCCTTCAGATGGCATATGAGTACTGAGGATTCAAGCAAAGGAGAAAGAGTCATACAGGATGGAGTAGAAGCGTCACATTTTTATATATCTTTATTTACATTTTGGCGATATCAAAATCACGGTCAATTAAAAAAGAAAATTTAATTCAAAGAGAAAGCAAATAAAATAGTAGTTTAAATTTAACTATCTGGTCTGCTCATTCACAGCATTTTTTTCACTTTTAACCAGTTATTTTCGATTTCCGGAGTCTTCTCTCTGTGCTGTAATGTCCCCAGGAGTGGGGAAGGGAACCAGTGTGTGACTCCGCCCCCCAACCCACCGGTGGCTCACTGTGGGGATCAATGAGTGAATTTTTGCTGTGCTTCTGGGGCCATCGGCTACTAGGTGCCAAAAGATGAAGGGACGAAGAAGTAGAAATTAGTAGTTACCAGTCACAGGAGTGTGGAGCACAGCATAGGGAATGTAGTCAGTATTATTGCAATGGCGGTGCGTGGTGCCAGCCGGGCACTAGAGTAATCGGGGACATCGCTTCGTAAATTATATAAATGTCCAGCCATTGCACTGTATACCTGAAAGTAATATAAAATAATAATAAAAGAAAGAAGTAAGAAAGGGAAAAAAAGACACGGCTTTGTGTTTCTCAAATGAAACATGGCACTTGTGAATGGTCTCGCTGAGAAGTCCTGGTGCATGGGAAATATTTCAAAATGCAAAAGCCTTTTTGGGTCAAAATCATGACATTAGTGTGGCTTCTTAGTTAGGGGTCGAGACTGAATCTGTTTCAGTCAGAAGACTGTCCAGATAGAATCAGTTTGCCACCTGAATCCTTTGTAGCATGTTAGCATGAGAGCATTTTGAATAATAAATAAGTGTGCCTGGAAAATGCTGTTTCAAACCAGTCACGACTTTAGAGTTATTTACTGAATACTATGCTATAACATGATTTACTGACTTATACAAATGTTGGCTTTTAAGACATTGCATATTTATTTTGTACATGGTGTGAAAGATCAGATGATCAAATTTTCCAAATCTACCTGAAATCGATGTGCTAAGTGAACATAAAAAACTTCTCAAGCTTAGGCTATATTATTCTACCATATACGATATAAGTATGCAAGATTCCTACTCTCGATCACATTCAGAGTAAGACTGATGTAAATACTGTGTGAGAAGAATTTAATAGTGCAACAGAAAAACTATAAACATGCCTGTGGCATTATTTTCCTGTCGATCATATCACAATATACAATTTAAAAACCACATAACAAATAACTAAAAGAGCTAATATCTAACCACACTGACGTCATTTTTAAGAGAATGAAGATCTAAAACAACGTGCCATGTAATTATCAGGAAAGAAAAAAAAAACTTCCTGAATAATTAAAGACAAAATCCTCTTGTGCATTGAGATTGCTCTTTAAATCTTTACATTTTACCTTCATTATTCTTACCCCTGCATTAGATGTTTGCTTTTAGGTCAGAGGTTTTGGCCACATTTTCTGTTTAATAGAATGATATTTGAAAATGTACATCAGGAAATGACCAGATTTGCTGTAACCCACATCGTTATTTCACCAATAATCTGAATCCAGATTACTTTCACCATTTTCTCTGAGTTCCAATGTTTCCAATTTTAAAGAACAAAATAAAAGTGAGCATATCTGTGGAGGACTTGCTCTCTTAATTGCAAATGTCTTTCATTGATAATTTCCACAATTATGCTTGAATAGCCAGGGCGTGTGTACATGTGCAGCACATACACCTGTTCATACATGTATGTGGGCTCACGTGTATTTCCATGCAACGCCTACACAATTATACTCATGTTCTTCTTGAGTGAATAAGCAAGTCCATGCTGGTTTGAATGAAATATGAATTTACCTTTTGCACATTTAGCCAATCCTAGCCCATTTATTCTCTGCCCCAAAGAAATGCAGAGTATCTGGCGCCTAAATTCTGCCAAAGGCAAAATATGACTTCTGTAACACTGAGTTGCACAAGATTTATTTGAATACTGAGGGCATTCTTTACATGTTATCAGATTATTAAATTTTGTTCACGCTTCGAAGAGTCATCTGTGTACGAATTACTTATCCCCAGCAACTCTTGTTCCTCGTGTCCCCATTGACCATCTAGAGTTCAACATTCCAGCGTGTTTCTGATTGTTAGGTAGCTATTTTTCTTCTCTGCTAACCATAATCAACAAGCAAGTAATTATCACGAGTGAGATAACCATTCCTCTCAAGAGTTTTATTTTGCTCTTCGAGTATCAGAGGCAGTTTCATTGTGGACAAGTTATTTTAACAGATAAAGAATGAAATGGTTGAAAGGAATATTGGTCTATGAAAACGATCCGAAGAAAGGACAGGTCTGGAGGTCACGTGGACGTGGGACCCACAGACTCCCACGGCTACAGAAAATTACTTTGAAGACGTTGCACAGAGAGAAGATTTTGAAGCTCTCATTTGTACATGAAGCTTTTGGGGGTCTTGTTAAGATCTAGACTCTGATTCTCTAAGTCCGGGGTGGGGGGCCTGTGATTCTGCATTGCTAACGAGCTCCTAGACGGGGCTGAGGTTGCTGGTCTGTGAACTACATTTTCAATGAAAGGGGCTGGTACATTCCAATGAAAAAAATCAGTGCGAACAACAGCATCAGCCCCGTTTGTATACGTTCTCGCAACTATTAATTCCTGATTTGATCGATTTCATTCTACACAATTAAATACACTAAAAAAAGGTAAAAATGGAATTATTGTATTTTGTAAGTAAAAAGTCCTCCTGGCTCATTTTTCTGCATTTCCGGATAGCCTTGTTATATATAACATTTTCTCTGCTTGGAAAAAAAAAAAAGTGTTTTAAAGCAATGATATAAGTGAATATCGCATTTCAAGTCCTGGCATAATACGTTCAATACTCGCATTGAATAAATACCTTATATAATAGCTGATATCCTCGTACAGAAATACATTTCCTTCCAATATCAGCATCGCTAAAAATGTGTCCATCCGGCAGGACGTTTTTGCAATTGCCCTACACCAAGTTCTTTGAAATGTAGCCCCCTTTTTAGAACGTCTGAGAGTCCGCTTCGGAAGAAGCATTTAACAAAGGAGCCCTCTCCAACGGGGAGATTCTCGTTTAGCCACCAGATCAAAGGAAAAAGATCGATTTTGCAAGTCCGTGCAGTCTTTTAGAGAGATGCCACGCGTCTTTGTTTTCGAAGCCACCTTTACGTTTGAAGGGAGCTCCGACGTGGAAACAGCCCGTGGCGTCGAGCCGAGGCGACGCCACTGCCGTCAGACGTTACTCTGCTGCAGCAGAAGCGTTCTCAGCTCCCTTTCCCTCTGGTCCTCCTGCCTGTACCTCTCCTCCAGCTTCTGCTTCTCGGAATCCGCGCAGTAACATGAGCAGTCTGAGGTCTTCCGGATCTGTTCGAACTGACTGAAATCTGCCACGTACTTTCCGTTTTTGGAGAGAGAAACCACAGGCACAAACTCAAACCCCCAGTGGATCTCCTCTGGGGTGTAGGACGTGCGGCTCTGGCAGACGGCGCTGGTGGACTCCACGGTGGCGTTGAGAAGGACCACCAGCTCGAAGTCCTTCTCTTTCAGGTTCTGGGGTGTGAGGTCTCTCAGGGGGCTCGTCTCATCCAGCACATGGTAGAAGGTCATGGGCAGGATGAGGAAAGGGCTGTCCGAGGAGGAGTCCACGTGGAACTTGACGGTGGCCTGGTTGAGGAGGATCCGCTCCCCCTCCTTGGTGACGTGGGTCTGGAGAAGCTTGCCGGACAGCTGGCACTGAATCAGGAGACTCTTCCTCATGTTGGCCACCTGGATCACCAAGCACAGCTTCCCGTTCTGCTTGGTGATGACCGCGCAGTGGCTGAACTTGATGGTCTCGGCCCGTTTTTTGGGTCTGGCGATTTTGGCCAGGAAGGTGCCCGTGATGAAGATCTCAATCAAGGTCGTAATGACCAGCTGAGCGACCAATAGGAAAATGGCATGGGGGCATTCCTCGGTGATGGAGCGGACGCCGTAGCCAATGGTCGTCTGAGACTCCAGGGAAAAGAGAAATGCCCCGGTGAGGGAGTCCACCTTCATGATGCAGGGAGTGTGATTTGACACAGGCTCGCTCAGGTCTAAGTCCCCGTGGATAAAGGCGATGGCGTAGTAGATGACCCCGAAGAGGAACCAGGTCATCACAAAGGTGGCCGCAAACAGGGTGAGTTTGTATCTCCACTTCATGTCAATCACGGTGGTCCACAAGTCTTGAAGGTAGAGCAAGTATAGGCCGTCCACTTTGTCGATTCTCACATTGCTGTGTCCGCTCTTGGACATGACGCGGGGCCTGCTGGCCTTGAGTCCAGCGCCGGCTGGGTGCTTCACCAAGGGAGCGCTGGACATGCTAATGTGAATGGGGTCCATCGTCAGGCTCTTGGGGACACCTAAGGGAACGACAGAGAGACGTTTTACTCCTGGCACACTTGGTAGAACGTCCAGACAACAGAAATGGGATGATCATGCGACATTAACATGAATGTAGGCCGACGTGTACGTGAAAGGAGACTTCTAAGGGCAAGGCAGGCCTACTTGTGCTTGAGGGGGAAAGTGGGGTGAAGCGAGGAGCCTGGAGACCAGCAAACCGGGGCTAAATGCTGCCTCTCCGACTTACTTGCTGTGTGACCCAGGACAATCCAAACTCTCGGATCTTAGTTTCCTAATCTGCAAAATGGGCATAAAGCCTACTCCTCGGGATTTTTGTGACAGCTAAATGATGTCATGGCTATAAAGTGCCCAAACCGAGCCTCACAGTCAAAAACGATGCCAATCTTTATAATATTGCGCTCGTGTGCATCAATCCCGCAGAGTATAATGGATATCTGTGTGTATATTCAGCTACCATGGGTTTGTAATTATAGGGAATTTTAAAATAAGTTGACTGAGCATAGGGTCAGTACTGATATAACTAAAATTGACCATCCATAAGATAATTCTTTATATAGGGATGGAGAACACTAATACAAATTGTTAAAATTTGGGTAGCGTGAAATTTCTTTAAAACTTACTTTTTGCATGACATCACCTATAATAGCAATTTATTCCTCCCCTCCTCCATCCAATGGATAATTTAGAATCCATGACCTCTCCTAGTTCTCGATTACAATGGAAAAGACTAAGTTATCAACGCCCCCCCCCCAAAAAAACACATAGTAAATAATTATGCTTGATTAATGGCTTAATCTATACGCCGATTATTCTTACAAGTGCTATCAAAACACCATATTAGGTATGACATTTAGATATGGCACAAAAATCCTGCCTTATTTCTTGATAACTAAGTAGAAGCAGCATAGGAATCTATTTTAAAGAGTTAATGAACAAGTAACTCAGCACAGGCGTCCAGCAGTGTGCAGCAGAGCTGACCTACCTAGAAGTGCAAGTCTCCCGTGCTGAGCCCTGTCGTTACAGACGGGAACAAGCTGGGCGTGAGGCTACACGGCATCTTATAGTACCTGCCTGGTGACTGAGCTAAATCACTCTCCGTTCCCTCCGTTCCTTGAAAAAGATGGTGTGAGTGATTAGGGGGAACTCTACCTGTTTGGCATGTTTTTTCCAGCTCATTGGTTTTTTTAAGAATAAAAAAAAATTTCTCCCATATAAAAAGGAACTGGTATGCAGTGGTCTGTGATTCATGCAATAGTTTTTGCTGTTAGAGCAGCATTATTGCAGTAGAAGTTTTGAAAATAATCCTCTGGGCAAATCCCTTCAAGGAAGGGAAGTCATATCCCTCCCAGGCTGACACTCGGCAAGGATGCAGCGTGTCTGCTGGGCTCTCTAATTTTCCTGTTACGTTATCAAGAGTGTGTCCTTTACTGAATGTCACGTGAAACGATTTTATTTTATTTTTTTTCTTGGAAAGGAAAGTCACTTTTTCATTTTCATTGCAAAGAAGGGCCATATGTTATTCAGAATTTACTCCTTGAAGCCTATTCCACTTATTTGAGGATCAATTTAAAAGCAAAGTACAAGGTATGACTGAGGAGCATGGTTTTATCAGACCCTCAACAGTCCTTCTCAGTGACTGAGAGGAAAACAGCCAAGATGCAAGTTTGGGAGCAAAACGCCATGCTGGCATGGCCGAAGGCACAGGCAAGCTCGGAACACGAGGAGCATTGCTGAAGACAAAAGACAAGTAAGTGCACGCACTTAAGGGGAAAAAAAAAAAGAAGAAGAAGAATTGCTAGGGGAAATTGCATGCCATTCAATCCACTGAAAGAAAAACAGAGGCTTAAGATTTTGGGTGTGAGTGATACACAAATGTCCTACGGGCACGAGCAAAGCTCAGCCTTCCGCCAGCCTCTGGAAAGCTTGGCCCTGTTTATATGAAGCCAGTGCCACGAAGCTTCTGTTTTAACCTCTCAAAGGGCAACGGGCCAGGCTTGGGATGAGCTGGATCGTTTTCCTTTTGCTGCTCAAAGTGCCTTTGCTGTATTTCTGCACATCTAGTGTTTGGGTTAATGACACCCATGCACCTCTTTCCAGAGGCCAGTGGTCAGAAATGGGATAAAGACTTAGAGCCTAGGATTTTAGGTTTAGCGTCTCTCTGCGGAGAAGAACAGCCAGCGGACAGCCCTCAAAGGGCGAACACCTTCTCCCTCCCTCTCAACGCCCGACGCCCTCAGAACTGTTTACTACCTGGTCACTTACTCAGCGGGTTGGAAGCCGTCTTCTCCAAGGCAGGTGGGATGTCCTCGCTCCCCTTCACCCACCTGGCTACCTGGGATTCTGCTACTGCCTGAAAGAAAGGGGGACAGTGGTGTTTATAGGGATTTACCAAGAAACCGGCCCAGTGAAACTGGCCCTTCACAATTCCCCCAAGGACCGAGGCCCTAGCATCTACCTTCCCATCCCTGGTCGTCTGGCCTGGTGCCAGAATAGAATAAAGGCTCGAGGAGTGCTTTAAGAATTAAATTGAAACCGCAATCACAGCCCTCACTAGAATTCCCACCCTCTGCAGGGAGCTCAGTAGTAAAACACCCTGGAACTGGAGCTAACTCACCCCCACTGAGGCCCACTATCAACCGATAGCAAACGGGGAGGCAGGAAGGGGAAGTGCAGAGGAAGTAAACAGTGAGAATTGGAAGGGAAGAGTCTAGAATATTTTTACCGCCTGTGGAAATGCATTATTATTGTTGAGTCATAGAACATTAGAGTTGAAAAGATTGTCAAAACCCAGCCATTTGACGCACGTTGTTCAAACGGGGAGACTGAGGCCTGAGAGGTTGGAGCCACTTGTCTTCATGATACGGATGGATCACGGCAGGAAAATAAACCAGGTCCCGAGTCTTTAAAAGCTTTTAAACCTTAAACCTCCGAAGTTTAATGCAATCTGTTCTAAATTCAAGAGGTTCTTTTACATCTTGCTTTTCAGAACTGTTTCTTCTTAAGCCACACACACACACACACACACACACACACACACACACACATTTTTATCTGTCTTTCAAAAAGAAGCACACATACAATTCATACTTCTTTTCTAATCTACCAGTTATTGAAAATAATTACAATAATTACTCTTTTCTCATTTAAGTAGTCCCAGTTGTCAAGCTGCACAGCTGCTTATGCCCTCGATTCTCGCTCTGCGTTAATGGGTTTGGCAAACGACCTCTTCATCATCCCTCTGTTAGGATCCAGCATCGATCTTACCTGGATGCTCGCTTTGTTATTTACCCTTCGTCACATGCTCTTAATTTATAGTGTTTTATTCTTCGACAGACCTGTTTGATGAAATTTACTTCTCTGTTGATACACATGCTTATTTCATATAATTCTTTCACGCAATGTTATGTTACTGCCTTAGATTTTTTTCCCCCTTAGTGATTCAGCAATCGACGTGGCTTCACTTCCGAATTGTTAAGGAACAACAGTTTCTCAAAAGCTAAGGATGGAGGAATAATAGCAAGTATTCTCTTCTATGATAACAAGTATTCCCTTCTCCTGACCCCACAAATAAGCAATATTCCAAAGAAACCATTAGTAGTGTTCTTTAGTCTCTGGAAATTGTATTTATTTTTCCAGTGTTCGTTATACTATTCCAGCATGTGGGTTGGGATTGTGATTCTTAGAACTGCGATCTCTTTATTGAAGTGAAGTCCTTAAACTTACTAAATGGAGAGGTCGATATTACTCTCTCTCGCTTCAAGCCAACACTATACACATGGCATGGAGGCATCTCACACTCTTATGCCGTGCAGCATTTGTGGTCTGGAGATAAAGGAGAGAGAGACGCATTTCTGAAACAGAACTACACAGTGGGCACATTGGAAAACGTCCTTAGCGGTAGAAGAACTACATCTTCAGCACTGGGGACAAAATGACAAGGATGGAAAAAACAGAAAGCGAGTTCCCATCACCGTCCTCAAGATTCTGTCAGAGAAAGGGGCTCTTATAAGAGCGGATGAGCAAAGAAATCAACCACCGTGAGCAGGAACACACTGCCCTGTCAGGGAAAAATCAAGCTATATTTGGCCGGAAAGATGCTGACCAATTAGAAGAAATAGATATGCCAGTAACAGGCACAAATATAGACAGAATCGAGTCAGAATAAGCCAGAGGTGGCCCAAAGTGGGAGAGATGCTGATGAATAACAACAATGGCAATAGCAAAATAATAAAATAAACATTCGAAGAAGTAATCATAATAAAGTTCCAGATCAATAACAGCGATCACTGTCGTAAATAGGCAACACTACGGTACCACGTAGTGCTTTCCTTGTGTGAACTTCATTAGCCCTCACACCAGTCGTGCGAGGCAAGTACCAGCATTATCCCCATGAGGAGGGAACTGTGGCACAGGCAGGTGAAGCGACCCACCTAAATTCCCAAGAGCTGGCCTGTGACAGCAATGCCCCTGTGGAGATCCTGTGCCAACATTCTCCACCACCCTGACAAAGGAGCCCAAGCTGTAGCTCATCAGAAGCCCCTGGAAAGCCCGGGCCATTTCTGATTCAGTCGGTTCGGGGTGGGGCCCAAGAGTTTGCATGTCTAACAGGTTCTCAAGTGACACTGTTGCTCCAAATACACGCACTGACTGAGAACCAGGGCGCGATGGCTTCCAGGCTGAATGACATCAGCATCTATCCACCCTTGAGCAAGACCACGACCCCCGCATTTTCTCTTAGCGTTCTAGAACAACGCTAGCATGCACAGGCATCCAAAAGATCTGTTCATTACTCTTCAGAATGCCCAGTCTTCACCTTCCTTGTGGATGAATGCCAAGTACCCAGCGGACCAAGCTAAGTATTAATTCTTTTAAAGCATTAAAAAAATATTTTCTTTTCCATTCTCAGTTAGTACAACACGGAGCCCTTCTAAAAACTTAGAGCTCCGTTGAGTCAAATTTTGGAAGTGTTCCATTTGCCTGTTCTGGGAAAAAACTTCATTCTATGTCCTGTGGTGGGCTAATGAAGTATTTGTACCTGCAGAAAAAATTAACTAAGAAAAAAAAAAAGTTGGGGAGGCAGCAGATTCCCAAATCTGGAGTTTCTCAATCAGGCTTCAAGTGAAGTCATTCTATGTACTTCAAAGGAGGTGGTGAGGTATGAAGAAATGGAATCCACCTCAAACCACAACTTTACAATTCCAAACTAAAGTTAGAATTTGAGGAGATCTGACTTTACAGCTCTAACAGACTGCTTTCTGTTTACATATATGTGTGTGTGTGTGTGTGTGTGTATTTAAAAAATTGCTCAACGAGCTTTCTCGAATGTCAAGTGTTTGTGACAAAACAATTTTTTGATGATCTCTTCCTTTGCTATCGATCCAAAATACTTGGATTAAATTTCACTTCAAGGATACACAGGTTTAAATATTAAGTAGAAAAAAAAATGCTTGACAAGAATGTACTTGGGTTCACTGAACTTAAAAGGTTTAAAAATCATTGAAAATAAAACCAGTGAGGCTTAGCTATCTTTTCTTTGGATCCCGTGACTGTGGCCACACTTGCACCTGCTCTGGGACCTTTGGTCTTGGCCTTGTATCACCTTCCTCCCTGCTCTTCAAAGCAGTCTAGGACTTGCTTCGATGCCTGGTCTTAACTGCTCTTAATCCACGTCGACTGAGGATATGGATGGCCTTGCTCAAGTGGCCTCAGAGATGAACATATCCATTGAAAAAGAACAAGGCGGCTAACGTTGGCTCTCAGAAGATCCCACAGGGCAGCACCTTTGGTTCTTACTGGCTGGGGAAATTACTCTTTCCTTCTGCAAACCTATTCTTCCCCTCGGGCCATCGAGGACCGAGGCTGGCTGGAAGGAATGGCAGCTTCTGGGAGGCTGTGGAATTGTCTTTCTCCTCCATGAGAGTCATAATGATCTGAGAGGACACTCTAGGTGATTGTTTGCAGCCTAGGTTTCTCTATCCTAACGGCCTATGTTTTGAAGCTGTGAACTCGCAATTTAATAGGTAGAGCGTTGGTAACTTTTGTTGCGGTGGCTGATCGTTGCTTCCTGTTATTGGCTGCTACTGTCTGCTGGGCCCATCCATAAAGTCCTCCCCTGCGCTTGTCCCTGTGGGGAATGTGTTTTCACCCTTTTGCGTCAGGTGCGGTCATGTGACTGTTCTGGCCAATGAGTGTGAACCACAGTGACTCACTACACACCTGAACAGAGGTATAAGACTCACGGTTGGGTCTTGGGTAAGGCTCAGATTGGGCTGTTCCTTCTTCTAGGGAACTGGGAAGAGAGACCCTTGGAGCCAAGCTACGACTTACCCACAGCTGACTTGTAACACGGGTGAGAAAAAAACTCCTTGTTGCCATAAGCCATTGAACTCTTGGAATTGTCTGCTATTGAGGCGACACCTATCAAAAGCCTGACCACAGACACACCCTTTCTTCGTGTTTTTATACCTTGGGATTATATTTAAAGGAAACATGTAAAGTCTTCAAATAGCCCTAATGTGAACTTTGAATGTTCATCTATGACTAAATACGGGATAGAAAAAAAACAAAATTCAAATGAACAAGTTTCCAATAGGAAGACAGAATCGCCTGATCTGTAAGGACAACAGAGAAAAGAAATAAAAAAGCTGACTAATTCTTCTCATGAAATTACTTCTAAATCAATACGTAAATTTATCTCGATAAGACAAATTTTCAGGACAAGATATAAAGGCTTGGGCATGATCACTCGAATATTTCGTGGAGCAAGAAGACCTTGGTGAAGAATGTGGTGGCCTCATGATCTGTGATGACAGACACACTGGGCAGTGCTGGGGGCCATTATTATTATATCATTGGTAGTTTTTATTTAAAAAGGGGGTGCTTAAAAGGGACTAGACACCTTTTAAAGCAGTTATAGATAGTATTCTATTTAATCCTTCTCTTTATCTTGTGTAGAAAACATCCTCTCGATTTTCTAAGTGAAGAAACTAAGCTTAGAGAGATTAGATAATTCACACATGTTGGTGAAGTTAATCCATGGAGGGACACACTGGCAAACCAGATCTTTCTGTTTGAGTCCAGAGTCCATGCTTCTCACCTCTAAGTTCAGGAAACATTCAGATTACCTGGAGGTCTTGAAAGGCACATGGCCAGGCCCCACCCCAGAGTTTCTGATTTCATAGGTCTGCAGCGGAGCCTGAGAGTCTACGTTTCTGATAGGTTCCCAGGCGATGCTGGCACTGCCGCTCTTGAGACTACATGTTGAGCCTGTGATCTACACTATTCGCCACCTAATAATATATAAAATATATAAGAAATCCACAAGCCCGTAAATCGGGTTGTCTAACAGTC